TTTTGCGAAAGAGCTCATGGGACCTATGGGATGCTGGGATCGAGGATTAATTGAAAATGAACATAGTTCTACAAACGCACAACCAATCAGAGCAATCACTCACTGTCATTCTGCACACTGGATGTATGTTTACCTACAATATGTTTCACAAGGTAGACATACAACAGGAGGACGATCCCATGATACAGAGTAGCTCACGGTGGGTCAGAGTTTATGTTTAATATAGGTGGACGTAACATACCTGACCTTCAAAACAAGTCAAAACATAAGACCAAGACACGGAGAGGAACTTTGATGGTAAAGACATTTTGTGTCCTCACACCTCACTTGGCGACAGCGAGGGAAGACGAGGATATCGAAGGGGACATGACTGAGAGGGGAAACAGAGCTCAAGCTGGGCCAGGCAGCAGGCAGGCCAGCAGGACGCCTTCACCCTCCAATAAACTTCAGCTAAAGGTCAAACAGATGAATTATTCATTATTCAAGGTACAGCCAAGGCCAATATTGGCCTCCGTCTGAGGCTGGCCATTTGAAAGTGTTTTAGATGGGGGGGTTAAAAGGGGAACGGCAATGTTGTGCAGTTCGATAGCAACAAGAGCGCATGAGTCAGTTTATGTGCAAGCACAAAACATATAGCACAGAAGGCTAATGCCACACACTATACGCCTAGGCTTTCATTAAAGGCTTTAGGCACCTTTGAAATAATACAGGTGAAAAAGGTGCAAAGGTTTCTTAATAAATACCTGAATTAAAGTGGGCATTGTGGGTCAATGTGTGCATAATGATTGGAGTTTTAAAAATTGATCATGCCTCATGTGGGCCCGTGTGTGTGCTCCGCTTGTAAAGGGCTTTTGATCAAATATGAAATATTCAAAAACCCAACTGTAATTTGATGAAGTCAGATATCCTCAAAATGGGAATAGCAGTCAGCACTTTTCACATTTCTGCTTATAAAAGACCCTCAGTAAACGGATTTAGAAACGGGAGGGGGAAAAACGGGGGTCTGGGTTAGGGTAATAAAGGCTGTTTAAAATATGCGCTGACCCGTGAGATGAACTGTAGTCCGTGTTGCACGGTCAGTGATCTCTCGACCGCCTTCTTTCCCTTCCCTCCCTCCACTGCTACTGGGTTCCGGTCCCGCTCTGCCCTCCGGCGGCCAAACTGTGGAACTGCAGCAGTGTGTGGGCAGCCGCAGCAGCACAGCGGGCATCTCCAAGCCATGCCCTGCCATTCACAATGGTATCAATTAAGAGCTGCGACTCCGCGAGCACTCGTTCTTAAATACATACATTTAGTGAAGCCTTTCAACAGTTCAAAAGGACTGATGACTGGTTGAAATGCATTGATTGGCTGAAGGGGGCATCACCGCTGGGTCCAAACAAAAAGTACAGTCCTACAAGTTGCCCCATTGAAATGGAGTCATATTATTTCAAGAATGTATCCTGCTTAAGCTCAATGTTAATATGACACTTTAACAGATCTATGCTAAATGGTTGGAAAATACATTTATCCCTAATGTGGGCCAACTGGGCAGGCATGATGAAAGAATTTGAATACCTACATCTCTACACCAGAGTGTAAGAATCACAGAAATATGATAGAAATCATATTTCTGTCTATCACAGAAATATGATAGAAACAGTGAACACTTATGTTTTGACCTGAAGTATATATCCCATTAGTTTGATCAATATTTCTAAAATCTTCATTTTTAAGCCTTGTAAGGGAATGAATTCATGAACAACCATTTGTATTAACAAATAAAATATAACAAGACCGATTTGATTATTATGAAAAGTGTCCTGAGAGTCTGTAAACTCTCCTTTACTTAAAAAAAAATAATTAAATTAAATAAAAATATGAAATATACAAACAATAAAGAGAGGAAAACGAAAATGATTAGGAGTAAGAAACTAAATACAGCATCAATGAACGTTCAAAAAACCACAGTGATAAGGGAAAAACACAGCAATCAAAAGAAGCAATTGATATGCTGAGACAGTTCAGTGTCTGAATTGTTTTAGCCTATGGTTTCACCATTCTGCTCTTGAAAACGCTCTTGAGTTAACAGGTAACAAAACCAGTACCATGATCTGAAAAGTGAGAGTTTGTGTGTCCACATGAATATCTGCACTGGGCATATTCACTTATTTAAATGCTTATGAACTGGAGAGTCCATTTGTGTTTCATGCATATTTCATGTAAAGCACTGTAAACAGAAGAACAAAGGAGCAAGAGTAACATTCTGAATTGAAAGAGGATGTTTCAGCAAAGTAAAGAGATGAAAGAGTGATATTTGCTGGTAACGCAGAATACAAAGGCTAAGCAAAGGTGAGGAACATGATGGTGTGGAAGTATCAAACAGTAAATATTTGTAGAAGTATTAGTAAAAGTATAATATTAATTAAATACTGAGAAACCAATGAACATGAAAAAATATTTAAATAGCTAATAAATAATAATCTAATCTATTAAGGACAGGCTTCATTTTTCACTTTCAGAATAAGGAAAATATAATTGCTTTTTAGAATTTTTAAATCCATTTTGTGATGCAGTTAGATACAATACCATACAACAACCAAGTTCAATGTAAGTTTTCTTTTTTAATTTCTGAAGTAAAACTGTGCTTTCAATACTTTCAATTTCAGTGCTTTTAAATGAAAATATCTCAGAACAATTTCAATGTACAGATTAATAAATAACTTAAAATGCAAAAAAAAAAAAAAGGTTCAGGGTTTGACAACTACAACTTTAATGCTGATTATATCCAAAAGACATATTTAGCCATGATATCATAACTGATATCACTAAACAGTCAATTTTACACATATAGTATCTCACACTCCACATTGTAAACCGATCTGAAAGTTTTTCCTGGAAAGATATGTTAAGTTTCTTTCATACAAACACTACCTGTCCGCCACAGCAGAAAAATCCTGAAGTCCATCACCTTAGGTCACAGTTCTCTGACAGAAACGAATAACAACCACCCACACAACCTCTTCCTACACACTCTATCTACAGGTTTCTATGCAAATGTCTTCGGCAATAAGGCACAGTGCTATCGCTAGTTGCTCTTGGCATGCAAACGATGCATTTATCTAACTTTACCTTCACTCACCATCTGCAGGGTTCCACTATATTCTTTGCAGTTCAGAAAGCACAGACAAAAACTTAAAATGAAGAGGAATATTTAGGTCTATTTTCCATAAACATTAGCACAAAGAAATGAATGTAAAAAAGGCATCATTTATGGACTGATTTTGGATGTTTCAGATGTATGGTTTGGGTGAGAACGGACGTGATATGAAAAAGCACATTCAAAATAATGTATTATAGAAGTATTTCTGCATGCACTTCAATATGGATGGAGATTCCCTGCTCCTCAAAATCGCCCAGTCAATCTTTCTGTAAAGCCGGGACGTATTCCCACTAAGCTGCTCGGCCTGAGGAAGTGAGGAAGGAGGGGGACAGGGGTCTGCCATACAGATGATCCATTCCACAGAGCGAACATTCAGCACAAGGGTCTCAAGGCCTACAGGGACTCTGATAAAGCACCTGGACAAAACTACTTATTTTTTTCCCCTCATATCGCTTAGGACGACTGATAGCTTCATATTTCTTTAAAAATAAAAAAAGCTGAAAAGGCTGAGGGAGAGGGAATTTCAGCAGTTTAATTCATCAAGACGAAGCCATGGGGGGCACCTTCAGATAAAAGAGACGGGAACATTTTGAAGTACAATGGTAGAATCTTTTTTTGGAAGGAACCCAATAAGGAGTAAAATATGAGTCATTACTTAAACTCACTGTGGAGATTTAACTGTATGTCACTTTTAAAGTACGTTTTTTATAGACCTATTAGAGTCAGGGATTTATTCTGTTGAGTACTTGTTTTATACTTAACGCTTATTGGTTTTTCTGTGTATCCTGGGGGAAACAGACATGGGGCAACAAGCAAGTGGGTCCAATTTGTGAGGAAAAAAATATATTGAAAGGGGGGTCCCTGCAACTACTCAGGTCAAGTGACTCGGTATGAAAAATCTGTCATCAACTCACCATCTTTAACTAAAAGTATGGCAGCATAGTGAGATTTTCCCTGACCTTGAGGTAAATGTTGTTAAATGTGTTTTTCATTTAGTAGGTACAAATTGTAAAAATGAAAATAAAAGCAATATTTGATAAACAAGTCCTATTGCAACAGAAAAAATTTAAATTATAAATTATTTAGGTATTTTTATGTCACTGGCCTTTTAATGGTTAACTAAAGTAGAATAGTTTCTTCCACTTAATGAAACTGAATTTAAAAAGGTCAAATAACTAGTTTAACATAAATTAATTGTTTTAAATAGCCATAGGATGCCCTTCAAGCAGGCATGCTTTTCAAGACTATTTGCATTTTTACTTTGTATTTGCCCTTAGACTATTCCTTGTTTTCACAAGGGTCGTACCTGTTGATAATAAGGCGAAATAGGCTATAGCTACATCTGTATGCTCCAAATATATTGCAACATACAGACAATAATAGCTCATCTCATCATTACAACTGCAGTGAATTCATGCACACTAATCAGCATATTGCCTGACACGTCCTTGTGTTCTGATTACACAGGAACATCATTTCATTCACAAATTAAGGACGTAAATTATTCAGAGCTAATAGATTGAGACAGACGATGGCAGCCTCTAGGATAACCTAATCCACTAAAAATGGCTACAAAATGGGACTCGCTTGAACATTTCGACTGTCTGGAAATTTGGAGAGCATTTTCAATGCTTCCTTGGTAGGGGGCTTGCTAGGATTTTGGACACAACCAGTTTATATTTTGCAAAAATAAATAAATAAAATTGCCTCTGCATGCACGCAATATTTTAATATTTAAAATGTTAAAATTTTGCAAGTGGCATCCATTTTCAGTGCCCTGTTCTTGTTAGACATCACAAAATCACATCCAGAGAGGGTGGAGAGCGTTTTAGTGCGATCTCTCCTCCTTTTCGGGCAGCGAAAACAAGGGTTAGTGTCGACATGACTTTAATTGTCTTTCTTACCTTCTGTCCGTGCGCGCGCTGAGCTGTACAGATCCACGTACTGCAAGACGCAACCATAATTTGGATAAAACAAAGAGGCTACAAAACGACATCAGTTCGTCTTTTTGATGTGACAGCTAAAAAACTAAAGTCGAACGATGTATGTTTTAACATGCAGTTACATCCACATATAAATCTAGCCGGTAAGACCTGAGCGTCGAATAAAAGATTATCAAATCGAGATATCTGCTTTCAGATGCGGGACTGAAAAAGATGCTTTTAAATGTATGCATGGTGATGGCCAAAGCTGCCGCCGGCGGAGATAGATCTGCATATGGAAATCAGTCCAATTTTACTTAACGTGATGTACAAGTTATTAATTAGACCGGAGTAATGTGGGGCAGACCAAGGGACTTAAGACGTAGCCTATTAATGTATCACGATTCAAAATCGCTTCTCTTATTTCTTTACTGCCAGTCTGAAGCTGTGATTTAAACGGCAATAACACATTTCTTGCATGTAATGCCAATATATTGTCGTTTTATCTATTGCGCGTTCTTAAATACGTTTCTTTACCAACAATGACAAGAACACATAGTAACTTTTCGATGTTTTCAATCAGTGTTTGCATTTAGGTAATATTATTACAGTTCTTGACCACGCCCCCGAGAACTTCTGACCAATCAAAGAGCGGCTTGGATGACCGACACGTCCTTGCGCATGCGCAGTGTTGCTGTGACTGTAGCGCGGGAGCGCATTGATACACCGGGAAGAGAGTCATTCATAGACGCAGCAGTTGTCAACAATGTTGAAGTAAGTGTTATTATAGAAGTTGTTACCTCCTAAGTGACTGAAATAGTTGTATCTGTTAGAAAATGATAGGTTTCTCTTTCTGCTGATACAATTTCCAGGTCGATAGCTCACAATTTAGCGCTGTAGGTCTGGAAGAGAAGTGTTCACTGCCGAAAATAACGTAAACCAGCCTAAGATATTTGCTGGTCTTTCCTGATTTACGGTTGCCTTACAGCCTGGCCAAGTCATTGTTTTTTTCCCCCCTGGAGTACAACTTTTATTAAATGATTGTTAAAAAAGATTAATTCGTGGTTAAAGGTTTTTTTTTATTGTATAGAGTTGAATTATTTTTTCTTTCAAAACTCTTCCCAGTGGTCTATTCCATCCTGTTGACATGGAGGGCGAGTTCTCGCAGTCCCTCACCCCACCTGTATCCCCATCTGCTCTGGATCATTATGGTGAATCCGCTCCCAGTCGTCCTCCCTGCTTCACCTGTGCTTATGAACCAGGTAGAGAAGAGACAGGTCGACTGTTATCAAATGGCTACATCAGCAGAGGAGCCCTGAAGAGGTACTAACTCCTGGTGTTATAATGATGATACTCTGTGTCAACCTGTCTGTTAAGCGTATATCTTCTTTCTTCTATGTTTAGGTTGCTGTTAAAGCTCGATCCAGCTCCTGCGGATTTTGAGGGAGACACAGTTGATATTTTTGACTTTCCATGGGTGACAGAAACAGCACTGGTAGAATCTACCAAACTTCTGTTTGGCTTGTTCAGGTAGGAGTGAAGGTGTGTTGGCTCTGGACGATTGCCATGTTGTCTGCTGAAACAGGAAGTCTGCTAATTTGACAATCTGTCTTTCCTTTCAGACAAAAGGTGTTAAAACTGGAGACGCTGGTGCAGTCCAGCTCGCATGATTTTGGTAAGCATCTGGAGACAGTAATTTTTGGAAGAGTTGTTGCAGTCTAACAGTATTTTTGCAGCTGAAATATGAATAACTATATTTTGATGCTTTCAGGTCAAGCGAGCAGTCTTCATTATGAGGCAGAAGAACTGACACAGCAGTGTGTGCTGTTCCTCAGTTATATCAAGGTCTTCATTTTCAGGTACAGATTGCTGTGGCTTGGTAGTAGCGAAGTAAAATCAGAAATAGGTTTCACATTGTGTTTTGCTCTCCAGGTTTTTGGAGCCCTCACAATCCCTTGATGAAGGTCCTGTTCATCCGTTTAAAGACGCAGAGGCTCAACTGCCCTCAGTCTTGGTGGAGGAGCTCTTCAGTATCACGCTGCTTATTGGTCGAATCAAAAACCTGCCAGCCAACGTCCAGAGTGCTCTTACAATTCAGCATCAGGGAAAGGTACCGCAGAACACCTATGTGCCATTGTCATAAGTTAAATGATATCTTCTAGCCTTTTGATGGTATTCCTCAATATCTGGTTATGTATGTACTACAGTAAATTGCTTAACAGGATAGTTCACCCAAAAATGAAAATTCTGTCATCATTTACTCATCGTTGTCATGTTGTTCCAAACCTGTATGAATTTTTTTCTTTTTATGAATACAATAGAACGCATTTTGAAGAAGGTGGGTGACCAAACAGTTTCTGGTCCCCCCCGACTTCCATAGTAGTCAATGGGGACCAACAACTGTTTGTTGTACCTTTTTCAAAATATATTTTTACATTAAACAGAAGAAAGAAACTCATACAGGTTTGGAACAGCTTGAGAGTGAGTAAATGAAGACAGAATTTTCATTTTTGGTTGAACTATAATATAAAAGAAACTAACAGTGTCACCCCCTTTACAGCTCTTTCCTCCATCTTGGCAATTATTGCATCTGCACCTGGACATCCACTGGTCTGTTCTGGAGATCCTGCACCTGTTGGAGCAAAGGATGATGGGTATGTTGCAATAGCTGTCTCTAGATGGCATGTGTGGTCCTGAATCTGGGACTGTCATACTAATGAGTGTTGGGTCCTGGTGATTTTGAAAGGTCAGGTAGTTTACGCGCACCAGTTCGTGAATTTGACAGGCGAGACGCTCACAAACATCAGTCTGTTTGAAGACCAGGTCAACAACCTGCTCTGTGATCTCATTGGTCTGGCCATGAACAAATATAATAAGGTGTGTGTGTTTTTAACAAACATAACAACATTGTGGTGTAAAGGTTAGAAGGTAGAACAATCTTTCATTCTCTCTCTCTCTCTAGGTGAGACCAACAGAGACTCTGAACAGCCATCACCATCACTGCCTCTGCACAAAGGAATTATGGATTCTACTCATGCATTTACTGGAGCACAGGAGCAAAACAATACACACTCAGGTTAGCACATACACAATCTCCGCATAGATGGTTGTTTCGTATGATTCTGGATTCTGATTTTTATTTTCAACCCAGTCTTTTTGGAGTTATGTAAATGCCCTGCTGCAGACTGTCCTTAAGGGGACGCCTTCAGGAGACCCTGACCCAGGGCTCCCCATGCACTATAAAGATCCTGAGGGCTTCACCTGGTGGCTGCTCACACACCTGGCCCAGATTAGGATGCACAACCAGAACGGCACTGCTCAACAGGAGGTAGATCAACACAAACTACTGTAGTATCACATGATGAGATGTTATTAATTTTAATAATGAATATTACATTGGTAAGTTTGTTCCTGTTTCAGAAACAACTTGAGGATAATTGGAGCTTTGTGATGGGGCTGCTGAAGTCTAGCTGTGATCCAAAGGTGATTAAAATAATATCGCATATTCTTGTGTATTATGTGTTTATTTGGCTAATATGCTTGTTTGTCTTGTCTGTTTATGAATAGCATTAGATACCTTTTTACACTGCACATTATGTATTCTGAAAGTAAATAGTATTATGATTAATTTTCAGAAAGCTGCACAGGAAGAGCAGATACGAATGGTTGTCCACTGCTGCCTCAGCATGAGCTTGATGTGGGGCCCAAATGTCAGTGCTGTCACAACGCTCTGGGAGTATTACAGCAAAAATTTAGTAAGTCATTAATGCAATTATTTCAGTTATTGGAGCCATGATGTAATGGCTACGTCAGAGTTTTTCCCCATTTAAATTGGGAAACAATAATGTTTTAAGAATTTAAATAAATTATTATATCAGTTCTAACTTGAGGTGTCCATATCAGCTCATTATTGCAAGATCACATAGCCATTTAAATATTATTTCTGTAACTGGAGACATGACATACTGCAGAACCCAGAAGTCCACATTTTCCCCCATTTAAATCTGTAAATAAGTTTTATAAGTTAAAAGTAATTAGTTTTGATCATTTTAATAAATTAATTATACTACGTTACATTTATATTAACTTGTGGTGTCCAAATATCAGCTCATTACTGCAAGATCACATTCACATTTTAATTTAATACTAATATTATATTATTAATATTTTAATCATTTAAATTCACTCAAACTCTTGTGCTGATAATATAATTTATTAATTTGAAAAATGTCAAATGAAAGCTACAATACCAGATGTAGTTTCATAACGACTAGATCCATGCTGAATCAGATTTTTTGCAGGGTTTCAAAATAATGGACTTGAAGAGTATATTCAATATATTGAAAAACATTTGTAGACTTCACTTATGCTTCGATTAGACGATACTTAAACTTTATCAGTGTGAAAGACACCCTTCAGTACTACATCTAATTCGGAACTCTCTCTTCTTCTTTCATGTGTATGCAGAACAGCTCTTTCACCGTGCCCTGGTTAGGTGTGTCAGGGCTGGGCAGTATCAGCAGGACTCCCCTCTGTCTGTTGCAGCAGGCTAAGAGCTGCTGTAGCCCTGCATCTGTCGGCTCCAACTCTCACACGCAGCTCTACCGCTCAACCAACTCCTTCCATATCTTCCTGCGTATTCTGGCCCTTCACCTGAGCCAGGAACATGCTGGTGGCGGCGCCCCCTGGAGACAAATCAAGGGCAGGTGAGAATAAGTCTTGGGACTCGCACACTCAAAGTTTAGATTTCGTCACCCCTACTTGCTGATTTCAGATCTGTCGCCAATCCGGTTTGCCTGGTGGAGCTTCAGTGAGAGGCTGAAATGGACAGAATCTGGATAATGAATTTTTCTGTCTGGACCGTGCTCAGCCGTGCAGCAAGCGCGAAGGATAATTAGCTAACAAGCATAGCGGTTAATTCACGTTAACACAGGCATTCGGGCTTCCAGCAATGCTGTGGCGGGGACTGACTTGGCCGGCTCAATGACCACCTCCTCCTCCCCTACACACAAACGCACGTGCCACACAGGGAGGTGTGGGCTGTGCTGATGGCACTCGGGTTTGGAGCGTGCTCGGTGGGAGGCACGGCGCACGGTGCATTAATGAGATCGGCAGGGAGCGCGTTCAAGCTCATACTCTGGGAATGAGCAGCATCTGCTCATGGCAGGCGCAAAAAAAAAAAGCTGTCCATGATGAACAAACAACCACACAGACAGGCAAAAAATGCAAACAATATCTCGACAGCCTTCCGTTCGTCTTCCATCTCGGGTCAGGCTCTAAAAGCTTGTACCACACTTTTGTGCATCGCTTCTATCTGTAGCGGTGACGTGGCCCGACTCCCCGCAGCTTTGCGTGATGTGTTTTTGTCCAAACATTAAACGGATGCTCAAAGGCCTGCTTGTAGTGCAGTGTGTTTATGGAACCTGCAGGGTTCTGTTTGGACCAAACAGTCAACAGTAGAAAGAAGGGGGGAGCGGAGGGGGTCAATATTGATTTCTCCTTCTGTGCTGCAGCAAATTGAGCCGCACACGACAGTGCAGCTACCACTGTGTGCCTGAGTGTTTCTGACATTTAACATGGTCTTTTAAAGGCATTTCACCGTGGTGCCTGGAGGATCAAATAACACTCTCTCTCTCACACACACACAGGCAAACTTGCACGTGCTGCTCACAGGCATAGCTTTCCAGGAAGACTGAACATCTGGAGGAGGTTAGCGATGAGTTGAGTACTTAGGTTGAAATGTTTGATCCTGATGGACCCCAACAGATTTTTAAGGGTATGGCAGCATTTGTGTGGTGGAAATATCATCGGAGTGAATTAAATATTGATCAGTCTTGAGTCAATGAGGGAAATGTTGCGTATTGTAGACATTGATTGCCAACTGACTGCCAACTACTCATCGCAATACATATTTCACTACAGTGAGATGTATACCAGACTTCTCTAATAATTTAGTCTGTTTAAACCCTGCCCCTTTCTTACAATCGACTTTCACTTAGATGTACATCACAATATAGAGGAAAAGATCTACTTTCATTTCATTCCAACTTTAAATGTTTGGTTTTCTCAGTGTTGTTGCCAGTTAGATTTGTTGAAAGACTTCTGATAGTCTACATCCATAAGAATGTGTAAAATTACAAATCAATCAGCAATGTTTTACATCATATGCCATCGTTTTCCAGTAAATATGTTTATAAATTTGAATTGTATTGTATTGAAATTTATTGAAAAGTTTGTTCCAGCATGTTACAAAATCTTGTGAAGAAAATGTAAACAAATTAACACAGATGAGATGACAGAGGCAGTGCGATTGGCTAAAATAGTGGTGGAATTCATTTTTTAATGTTTAAAAACGGCTGCAAATATAAAACACACCTTCAGTAACTTGAACTTTAACCTACAATTTACTGGTTTTGATAATTATATTAGTGTCAATATACAATAAAATAACGTCAGTTTATGATAATAAAAAAAAAAATGTCTTAAAGGGGTCATATGATGCGATTTCAAGTTTTCCTTTCTCTTTGGAGTGTTACAAGCTGATTGTGCATAGATAAGATCCCTGAAGTTGCAAAGACTACAGTCTCACAGGGCTCTACAGTGCGACCATTTCAGTCGCATTTGCGACTGAAAACTACTGCGTGCGACTATGAAAACATATTTAGGAGCACCAGTGCGACTGACCAGATCATCATCATACTTGTGATTGTGATCGCTGAGGGGAGCTTCAAAGGTTTCTACGTGTTTTTGTAGCGTTGAGTAATGTATCACAGACATGTCTCATGAATCCTTTCATAAACAAAGTGTAGACAGGGTGTAACGTAGTGTGGAGATAAGCTTATCCATTGTGCACAGAGCCCCTGTAAGGTCCCCTGTGCATCTCTAGGGGCCCGCAGCACCCGGGTCAGCCCATACAAGTGCTGGAAGAGAGCTGTGTTGAGTTTTGGCCCATGGGTCTGGTCCTGGCTGGAGACAGCTGAGTGTGGACTGAGCTGAAGGGAGGGATGAGTTCATGGCAGGGACATTGGTGTGACTTACACGGCTAACATGGTCAGAGGTGGCTAGGGTGCGATTGAGTAAGGTGTCCGGGTTTGAAAGCACACATACACTGACCTCCAAGGTAAAGAATTCACTGCTTAAGTGTCCACTCCTCTCATTTTACCCATCTAACTATGAATCACTTTAACACTACTAATTCCCACAATTCCCAAGCAGGATCTGTGGGTGGGAGGCCACTCATTTGCACATGAATGGGCGATTAAAAGTGAGGCGAGCGAGTTTTTCCTGAACAGGCTCATGTTGGCACCAAGATCCCCTGACCCAGATTAAAAAGACGGGGTGCTTTTTGACATGTCCTTACAAATTACTCTTAATTTCACCGCGGTTCTGTTGTATCGCTTTTATTAATGCATTTTCACTGACACAATTAATGCGTTATTATGTGGTCCGGTAAATTGAACCCTGGCTTCATTACGGCTATTAGGTTGGAGACGGCATGCGCAAGCCTTATGTGAATTAGCCAGCACGCGGCTACAGGGCGACATAAGGCAGACTGTAACTGACGGATGATTCACGCAGATAACACAGGCCAGGCTCTAGTCACGCTCTAATTCTCCTCATTGCATTCCCTGCCACGATCCTCTGTGTGTGTGTGGGCAGTGAGATCACAATGGTGACCCCTGCAGCACGGTGGCGTCTTTGCCAAGTGACTAATCGAGTTCTCGCCAATCGATTAATCTGGTTCCTTCCCGCTGCTCTTTCGCCGTGCACACGTCTCCCCTCAGGAGAACGGAGAGCATGGTGACACTGAGGCTAAGAAGGGAGGTGGTGAGCATTATCTCTGTTTCTATGTTTCTGTTCAACACAGCAGGGGCTGTTTGTCAAACTCATTTAAGAACACAAAACTGTTTTACTCAAACTGTTAGGAAATATTGCTTTAAAAGGATGCAAGAATTGTCGTGAATTTAGTCTAAAGGTTTATTATTGAGTTGAACATATTCAGTGATTCACCTCTAGACTATTTAAAGAACTAACAGGGTTACATTACATCACCGCTATGAAATATGATTTTCTATTGTTAGTGAGTTGCAGTTGGCAACTCCAGATATTCTCATTCTAGAAAGCTTTTGTTTGGATAAAAATCTGTGGTGCAACACGAGTCATCAGTGTTTTTGATCTGTTTTCTAGGAAGAGAATGACATTTTGAATTATTTTTGTCAATATTTAGGAGTACATTTGCACAAGATCTTTCAGAGGTAAAAATTGCTTTGGAACAAAATTTATTGGGAAAAGTGCTGTACAAATACATTTGAATTGTTAATAATCATTTTAAATTAATAATATTTTCCTATTTATTATTAAAGTTAATATTTAAATAATTTCTTCTGTTTTTGTACAATGATAACCTAAAAGACAATTATTTAGTTTTTAAACAGTATGTTCTTTTTAATGTCACATTTATTATTTTTTTCACAAAAGATATATAAGTTTTAATATACATACATCAACCCCACCAACACCTGTTTACACACGTTACCATTCAAATGCAAGAAATTAATAATTTTATTCAGCAATTGTGCATTCAATTATTCAAAAGTGAGAGTAAAGACATTTATCATTTCTGAAGGATCACATGCCAATAAAGACTGGAGCAATGCCCGCTGAAAATTCAGCTTTGTAAATTGCATTTTAAAATATATTAAAATAGCAAAATTATTTAATTATTTTAAATTGTTATAATATTCCACATTAAAAAGTTGGAAAACCCATGAATTAGAATATAGCTAATACACAAGTTGAATTTTGGTTTCAAGAGGTCTTTGACTGCTGCGTTGGAAACTTAGCTAGGATTCATTTTGCTGTTAATTAATATTTAGCATGCTTGCATTACATTAATTGTACAGAAATGTTCCCTAGAGCAAACAGAGCCTAGAGCCTTACTGATAGGAATTTCATTCAATAACTCTTCACTACTCCGTTTACCCTTCAAACGTTGATAGCCTAAAACCTTCAAAACTCAGTGAAATGGTTTAACAAACATATGTGACCCTGAACCACAAAACCAGTCATAAGGGTCAATTTTTCGAAATTGAGATTTATAAATCATCTGAAAGCTGAATAAATAAGCTTTCCATTGATGTATGGTTTGTTAGGATCGGACAATATTTGGCTGAGATACAACTATTTGAAAATCTGGAATCTGACGGTGCAAAAAAATCTAAATACTGAGAAAATCGCCTTTAAAGTTGTCCAAATTAAGCTCTTAGCAATGCATATTACTAATCAAAAATAAAATTGATATATTTACTGTAGGAAAATTACAAAATATCTTCATGGAACATGATTTTTACTTAATATCCTAATGATTTTTTGGCATAAAAGAAAAATCTATAATTTTGACTCTATAATTTTGACCCATACATACATACATACATACATACATAATAGATTAGGAATATACATATATTTTTTCATATTTATTGATCGGTATCGGCCAATACTGAACCCTAGGTATCGGAATCGGTATCGGAGGTGAAAAAGGCGGATCGGAGCATCCCTAATAGTAACCGGAGACATTCCCTCTCAAGCTTTCACGAGACATCAAGGGGACATTTCTCCGTTATGGGAACGATATTCAATCCCGCCGTGAGAGAGGCTACGAGAAGTCTGTACAAGTCACACACTCAGCGAAGATAGAACACACAAT